TTCTAGGACATTGTCTACTCATATCATAAATCCCAAAAACTTGAGTTTCTGCTTATTGATTATAATTTTGCAATCCATTTTTCTAGGGTTTGAACCTAGAATAAGTTCTGACTTATGTATGACAAGTTCCCACTTAAGATAAAACCAGTCATGTACTGCCTCCTGGTGGTCAATGTAACCATTTTGATCAACGACACTCTCTTCAAGAACTTGCTTCCTGACATTCCTCACTTTGCACACACCATATTTTTATTCTTAGTTACAAGATCTTAAGCAAATCTTTTTATTTTAATACAAAGCCATTGTCACTTTATGTGTGGAATTAGTGCAGTGACTTGTTAATTTCTACATTAACTTGCATTTTTTAATGCAGTGGTGTGTGTATGTGGATGGGTGTGAGTGGGTGTGGTGTACATATCGGTACATATTTTATGCAACACCATCTTATTTTTTGGTAGATTGATAGCATTTCAATTGCTTTTTCCCACGCAGCTTAAAAACTTCAAAATAAATATGTATATATTCTAAACAAAATCTGCTAAAGATATAGATACATCCATATATAAGAGTAGTAGGACATTTGGAAATGTAGAGAATGATTATAGAAAATAATCTTTATACACAGAGAGAGAGAGAGAGAGAGATAGTGTTGAAAATTTGAACAAATTTCAATTAATTTTAATATTATATAAATGCCTATAAAATATAGATCAGGTTTTTTCGAAAATATGGGATGAATATTTTAGATCTTATCTTAGTGAATCAATTTGAAACTGTTTATCAAACAAAATTCCATTTAACTTTTTTTTAGCATTTAAATGGACTCTTATAGTACAATAAACTTCTAAATTAATATTTTATTAATCAACATTTTTCTACATTGTTGGTACTCAACTATTTTTGATGGTAATTACTATATAAATAAATGTTTTTAACATTAGTTAAAAAACAATAGTCAAGAATATGTTGTAATTCATTCTACTCTGTAATTCATTTACAGTCATCTTCCCATCTTTCTTAGAAACAGTAGTATTTGAAAATGTAGGAAATAATGTATATAATATATTACCTACTACTCAGTAGGCTCATTACTACCCATTAATGCAACATTTAAAGATGTCTTTGTCTTCAAATTAAACATAAACCTAGACTAATAAAAATAGGAAAATTCGATACATGACAGTATATTCAAAAAGGATAACTTCTAAAATAAGTCATAAAATAAATAAAAAAATCTGGAAAAAAGCTTCAATGAATGAAGATTTTATTCACATTTCATATAAACTTTTAGAAGATGCCACTGAGATTATCCACTAAAATACTATTCAGTGAAGTGATCACCCTTTTTAAATTATATGAATAAATTAATTCCTGATTGTTCCTTCATAAGATATTTTCCTAGGGAATAAAATGTATATTCAAGTATATTTTTTCTTTTAAAATATTTATTACCGAATTATTTTTCTGAATAGTTTACATTGTTTTTTAAAAAAAACATTTTTTTAATCTTCAATATTTAACAAATTCTTCATAAAAATACATAAAATGTTAAAATGACATGTAGGAGTAACATTAGTCGCATCCTTCCAGAACAAAAGCCTAGTAAAGGAATGAGGATTTCTGCTTATATCCTTACTCAGTTTCTTAATCAATGGAGTTATTTCTTTATGCAGTTTACAGTCTACACCTAAGCTATATTTATTTTCAATGAAAATTATTCATTTTTCATTTTATAGTGTATAATTGTCTTACGTTTAACAGCATTGCCTAATTTATGGGTTCCAAAAATATGTTACATGAATCCAACACATTTTGTCAGTCAGGCCACAAGTAAAAGTAAATCTAAGTAAATAAATAAAAAGTAATTTAAAAGATAACTGTAAAATGTTGATTGGCTGACAAAATGAAGTTTCCAAACAGTGACTTACAACCATAAACAAGTGGAGTTAATTATTTTCTTTCACGTGTTAGTGGTAACTGTAGAGAAACTTCCAAGATTGAAAAGCAATGGCAGTTTTAAAAAGTATTACAATATTTTAAATACAAAGACCCAATTCTGTTCTGATTGGAATACATAATGCATATTGTTACATACAAAAACACACATATCAACAATAACTTTAAAGAATAACAAATATATTGTCATATTTTACTGAATATGACAGAGAGGGAGGGAGAGAGATAGAGAGAGGGAGGGAGAGAGAGGGAGGGAGGGAGGGAGAGAGATGAATTTGGGATATTTGACTGAATGTTATTCAGGAAAAAAATATTTCTATTTCTCTTTTCAGATGCCATTAGCTATCTATCTGCCTCCTTGCCTACCTATCATCCATCTACATCTATTCTCTCTGTGTGTGTGTGTGTGTGTGTGTGTGTGTGTGTGTGTGTGTGTGTGTCATTCATCTATCTATATGACAGAGAGGGAGGGAGATAGATAGAGAGAGGGGGAGGGAGGGAGGGAGGGAGAGAGATGAATTTGGGATATTTGACTGAATGTTATTCAGGAAAAAAATATTTCTATTTCTCTTTTCAGATGCCATTAGCTATCTATCTGCCCCCCCTGCCTATCTATCATCCATCTACATCTATTCTCTCTCTCTCTCTCTCTCTCTCTCTCTCTCTCTCTCTCTCTGTGTGTGTGTGTGTGTGTGTGTGTGTGATTAATCTATCTATATACAATATTTACTTTAGTGTTGAGCCTACAGACAGAGGTTGCCTCTCATTAACTTTAACATCTGAACTCCGGCTCTCAAGAAACTAAAAAATCTAACAATGAAACAATACCTCAGAAAATAGCAAGAACCACACTGCAATGAATTTCACTTTTTTAAAAAAAATGAGGCTTGCGGCAGGAGAATTCATGAAATCTCGATCCTAACAGATGCCCACTCGGAGAACCCATTTCCCGCTCAAAATTCCACAGATCTCCAATTCGTCATCACTAGAAGTTCATCCCAGACTAAAACAAAAAACCTGTTCAGCCAATCAGGTTCCAGGTGCTGAACAGCCTCCACCAATGGAGAGTAGCAGACTGCAGTTGGATGTTCGCGGTCGGGAACCGTTACTCTTAACGGTCGACAGTTGAGGCCACCCTCAAACGGGAGTTGAACGTCGAACCTCTGAGGGAAAGCATTGAACCTCGCCATCTTCGTCAGGCATCATGGTGGGAAGTGGGGCTTGGGTGGCTGGGCTTCATTCAGTGGGGAGCGGGGTCATGGCAGCTCTTTAAGCCTCTTGGCGTAGTAATGTTATGAGGGAACCGCGAGCGTAGGGTACGAGAATGATATACTCGTGGAAGAATGCTGTCGCCTCATGCGAGTTTTCCCGCGCGAGCTTCGCCTCGGTCGAGGCTTCGTACTTCGTAAAAGCGCGATTCGGTGGAGATCAGGGGTTGCTTGGCGCTGTATTATCTTGTATTTGGCTAGGCACAAGGCTGAAAGGCGAGCGGAAAGGGAGAAACCATTTTCAACGACCATTTTTTAAAACCTGGGTGTCCTAAGGGCAATTGATCATTAAAATAGTGCATATTTTAAAACAGACATTAGAAATCAAATGGGTACATTATCAAAATACAGAAATGGGTCAGCATACATTTTTGTAGTGCTTTATTATTACGCATACTTTCAAAAATAAGCATTAATCATGCCTTTTTAAAAAAAATTAACTTTTTTTAAATAGCGTGAATGTATCTCTATCCACGTTGGACAAGCTGGAGTTCAGATTGGTAACGCTTGTTGGGAATTGTATTGTCTTGAGCATGGAATTCAGCCGGATGGTCAGATGCCCAGTGACAAAACCATAGGAGGTGGAGATGATTCCTTTAACACATTTTTTAGTGAAACCGGTGCTGGCAAGCATGTACCTAGAGCTGTTTTTGTGGACCTTGAGCCAACTGTTGTTGGTATGTATAAGGGCTTGGAAAGGTGGTATCAACATGTGAATTATCAGAAATAATTTATATTTAAATAATAATTTATATTTATACAATATTTTCATTATTTAGAAGTAATAAAAATAGGGGGAATGCTAAATAAACTTGAATTTTGATTAAAGCTATTTTAAAATAATCCGGCACTAAATTAAGTTTGCCTTTACACATTGATTTTATTAATTTATTAAAAAGGTAACATAGGAAGTTATTTCATTTACCCTCTCATATTAATAAAAGTAAGAATAGAAGTACGCTATTTATTTTTTTATGTTTTTTATATATATCCATATAGTCATCAGAAGTGAACTAAGACATATTTTCATGCCGAGAGTCTTCTGTCTGTCTATGATTAATTTTAATTCCTGCAAAAAGAAGCCCTATCTTTTGTTCAGAAATATTAACCAGAATTTATCTCATTGATCTAATGTAAAAACAATACATATGCTTAGCAAGGAATAAGAACAGCTGAATCCCTTCCAACTTGGTTATTCTATTAAGTACATTATTTCTTGAGTGTGGAATATTATTAGAAATAATAAAACACTTCTGGATTTTGAATTAGAATTAAGGTTTTTTTTTTTAATCCTCAAAGATGAGGTCCGTACAGGTACTTACAGACAGTTATTTCATCCTGAGCAACTCATTACTGGAAAAGAAGATGCTGCTAACAATTATGCTAGAGGCCATTATACCATAGGGAAAGAGATTGTGGATCTAGTGCTAGATCGCATTCGAAAATTGGTGAGTCATTATGAGATGTGAATTAGAAAATATTTGCAAATAAAAATGTGAAATTTGAAATTTTACCATTTTGAAGTCAGGAGCATAGAAATTCTAGTCTTTTATTTTCAAAAGTATATGTTTAAAAATATTTGATCTGTTTAAGGAATGCATATTTAAAACTAAGTATACTATATTGATTTTTTAATTTTAATTGACTGGATGGTATTAATGCAAATATTTTAAATGAATACAGTAGCAAATAATAGCATGTTAAATTTATACTGTTGAAATTAAGTATTCTGATCAATGACCTCACTTTTTGTTGGGTTTTGGGGGGTTGTCTTTTTGTAGGCTGATCTGTGTACTGGTCTACAGGGTTTCCTTATTTTCCATAGTTTTGGTGGAGGTACTGGCTCTGGATTTGCATCTTTGCTAATGGAAAGACTCTCAGTTGACTATGGGAAAAAATCCAAACTGGAATTTGCAATATACCCAGCTCCACAAGTATCTACTGCTGTGGTGGAGCCTTACAATTCTATCCTTACCACACATACCACATTGGAACATTCTGACTGTGCATTCATGGTGGATAATGAAGCTATTTATGATATATGTCGACGCAATCTTGACATTGAACGTCCTACTTACACCAACCTCAATCGTCTCATTGGTCAAATTGTATCTTCTATCACAGCTTCACTACGTTTTGATGGTGCTCTGAATGTAGATTTGACAGAATTTCAAACAAATCTTGTTCCTTACCCACGAATCCATTTCCCCCTGGCAACATATGCTCCTGTCATTTCAGCTGAAAAGGCATACCATGAGCAGTTGTCAGTGGCTGAAATTACTAATGCTTGTTTTGAGCCAGCTAATCAGATGGTAAAATGTGATCCTCGCCATGGTAAATATATGGCATGTTGCATGCTATACAGAGGTGATGTAGTGCCAAAAGATGTCAATGCAGCTATTGCAACAATCAAGACAAAACGTACTATTCAGTTTGTGGATTGGTGTCCAACTGGATTCAAGGTACTATATTGTTGAATATAAACAAACATGGAGTATAATCTTAGTGAACTCCAATGATTTGGGTGGAAACTTCCTAATATAAAGTAATAAAAGCATGATATAATATATGAACAAGATTGTATTTACCTAATAACTGTTTCCACATAAAGGGATTATGTTGCAGACATGAATATAGCAGTAATATTTTTCTTGCCCAGATCAGATCATCGTTCTCCCAATTCTAAAAATGCTGAACAGCATTTATTTTATTAATGTTTGTGTGGTGCTAAGTGTAGAGCTTCTTACGTAACTTGAGCCGACTTTTTAAATTCTTCTAAGATTTTTAAAATAACGAGGTGGCAGACATACCAAATAATCCTTCCTCCTATTTTCTGTACAATAATCTTTTGAGATGGATTGGGCTGTGAGAGAGTGACTAACCCAAAGTCTTGCAGCTGGCTTTCAGTGAAGTAAATCATGTTACATGAACAGTCATTTCATTATGAGATGGGTGGCAAATAAATTCAATAAATAAATGCTGCACACCAAATTGCACTTTTTTCAGTTATTAGACTAGTACAATCATACTTAGGATAAATAAACAATTATTTTAAATGAAAGCTAGTGTGCTTATACCTTTAGTATATTTAAGAGAATTAAACCATAATTCAATTTATTAATGTATTTCAATTTATTAATGTATTTCTCATGATAAAAGTGAGGCAATTTACATAGATTAGGGGTTTTCTTTTTATTTATGCGGTAAATGTGAATACATTCACTTTTTCTCTAGCTCCTTTTTTGATTCAAGAATTCATATCTAATTTTTTGTTTCCCATTATGCTTTTATCCACAAAATGCTCAGGGAGAAGGAAAGGCAGGGAAAGAAAAAAATAGAATTTGAAAATCCCTTGCATTATTGAGGGAAATGTAATGAATGTTTTTTCCTTCCTCTAGGTGGGCATCAATTATCAGCCACCCACTGTGGTACCAGGAGGAGATTTGGCCAAGGTGCAACGTGCTGTATGTATGCTGAGTAACACTACTGCAATTGCAGAAGCTTGGGCTCGCCTTGATCATAAATTTGATTTAATGTATGCCAAGAGAGCCTTTGTGCATTGGTATGTAGGGGAAGGAATGGAAGAAGGAGAATTTTCTGAAGCCCGAGAGGATCTTGCTGCACTTGAAAAAGATTATGAAGAAGTTGGTGTTGATTCTGTGGAAGCTGAAGCTGAAGAAGGAGAAGAATATTAAGCTATGATATATATTTCAATATTTTGTACTTTCAGGTTCACGTGTTCAGTTCTGAATAAACATTTAAGTGTTCTAAGAAGTTTAATAGCTATTATTTAAAATAGCTTTAAAATCATCCCTTGAAACAGTTTCTATAAACTTTGAGCAAAGCATAAATAAGTTTTCTGTAAAACTGTCTCAAAAACATCCATTCTTTATTTCTCCCTTTTATTCTTACAGGATCTTTTAAAAACTTATAAAGTAAGTATTCTGAAATAGTCAAAGTGTTATTGCATCTTAGAATGTATGTACATAATAAAATGATACTGGCGATGTCATTGATTGTGTATATGGAATTTTATGTTGATTAAAGTAATGTGAATAACTATCTTGTTGCAATCTTATCAGTGGATTTGGTCTACTCGTTCATCTTCACTTTTATTCATTAAATTTTCAGAACTGGTTGGAAATAAAAGTGGGAGATTATAAAATAAAGATAGTATTGCAGCTTTTCTGATCTTTAGTATATGGAAATGAAATGGATGAATATTCTACATAATCAACTAAGCATATTGATCCTAAGACTAGCACAAACTTGATTTACATTAAAAGAAACATTTTGGTTCTTACATTCTGCTAGCTAATAAACAGCTTAAAGGTTTAGGTGCAGCAGTAACACATTTTATGATAAACTCAGCTACACTATATTGCCAAAAATATTCGCTCACACATCCACATAATCAGCCTCAGTTGTGAGCAAATAGTTTTGGCAATATAGTGTATATCAGATTTCAAACTTTTCTGTCACTTGCTAATAAAGGCCTGAAAATATAATAGCATGAAGTGACGTAATCTACTTAATTGAATTATGCAAATGACATAGATGGGCTTGATCAGTTGCATGGCAAAATTAAGTAACGTGCATGTGTTATCTTAAATTACAGATAACTAGACTACTATTGGGAAGCCCTATTCAGTTCATTGGCCTTTATTTTCAAATCAAGGAATTGTACTATTCCTAACTATTATCAGGCTATATTCAGCTGTACACTTAAATTATTTCTGAAAAATCAGATCTTGTACTGCTTTCATTTAGGGTGATGGTTTGGAATAGAAAGTGTCAACCTTTTTAAGTATACTAAAGCAATAAAAGTCTCAGGAAGAGTACAGCTGAGCTTATTGAAGTTGCTATATTAATAGATTGTTGCTAGTTATGGTCTTCGCACCCCAAATAACCAAGTGAATTGGAGGGTCAATAGGATTCATAATACTATCACCTTTCCAGGACTAAAGTAATGTTTCTGTTTATGTGCTGAATATTAGCTTCAGGGCCATCTCCCTGGCTCTACAGTAAGGCCTTTGTCAAGCAAATATATTTCTGGGATGTTGTCACATAAAGTTATCAGTGATAGCATTCATCTTTTTAATCAATGCATCTTTTATACATTTAAAGTTTGATAGACTAGTTTTAAACTATTGGAAACTAGAGGGTCTGAACAATTAGATACATAGCTGGTTTAATTATATTTGTACTCAACAAATTGTCATTGGTTCCTCATTAAACTTATACTCCAGTAAGTTATGTGAAGAGACAAATGCTTAGCAAATTTGTAGATGAAATTAACTTGGGTATAATGTAGATGGATTCAATCACAGCAGTAATAAGTGCATAGTTAGAAAACCTAAAGGGTCCAGATTGGCTCGGATCATCTTGGAGATTTATTTGGTGGGCAAGAGATGACAGATTTGAGGGGACATAATTGTGGTAATTAAGGTTTTTTTCATTGTTTCTTTACTAGCCTCTTTATTTTTTAGTTTGAATATTCAGCTATTGCCATATAAACCATTGAACTTGATCTCATGAAAGATAAACGGTGTAAGTTAAAACAAAGTACTGTGCTGTAGACTTAATAGGCAAGCAATAGGAAAAACACATTAAAGGATTTATATATATATCACATTTTCCAAATGACACAACTAATAAACAGCTATGCTATTGAAAGAAATGCAAAATTGACTTGTCATGACAACCCGTGTAGACCAATGTTATGAAATGAGCAGTCATTGTTAGAAAAACAATTATGATAAGGGTTTCAAAAATCATCAGGAATATATAGATAATAGGATTCTGAGACTAAAGGGGGGGAAAGTTTCAGTCAAATATAACCTATTTCCAGTCTCTAAAGCTTTGCCTATTGATCAGGGATTTCAGGGAATTAGAAAAATTCCATAGCCTAAAAGAATGAAAACCCTGCCCTTTTGCTGCAGCCATATTTCATTCTTTTCACCTTTGGCAGGGTTATAAACTTTTCAAGAGAACTAGGTCTTTAAATAGTACACCAAAAGTATAATTTGAGGTTGATAGCAAGCACACATAACTAGAAAAATTAACAAACTTATTCAAAATTAAAAAGTCCTCCAGAAAAACAATAATTTAGTGAAATATTTCCATTTTGTAGATAAAATATACAAAGCATTAAATATTTTATTTCATGCCAGAGCAGCTTTTCCCAACCAGATGTCCATCCTTCAAAAGTATGACACTTCAATTAGAAAAGCTCCCAAGCAGGTTGGAGATGGCTATCCTACAGTAGTGATGTTTTTTTTAAAAAAAAAAAATACAGCATTACCATGGTTTGGGTTTTTCACAATTTAATAAGTTCAATGACCAAAGAAAATTTGATTTAAGAAAAGTGGGTTCTTAAAAGATCTGCCTTGAGATCAATTTAATAGAAAATAGTAGCAAAGCAAGGTTTAAATATTAAGTTTGTAAAAATATTTTATTATGCTCTTGCTTTTTCTTATAGTCAGCAGATGCCTTTACAAAGAAATACCTCATACAATATTGTCTATGAAAAAGGCCAAAAGACACAAAAACAATATTTATGTTGAAATTTTCTATTCCAGCTTTTCTTGTGTTTTTTCCATTATCTTCCTGTTCCCAACTCTATACTTAAAAGAGCATCATGTACTCTGAAAAGGCTATATTACTATATTATGTTTTATTATCAGTCTTTTAAAAATTAATGAAGATTAATATATAAAGCATTGGTCCAGTATCAAACGCCAGCGACGTAACAATTTAGTAACACATTATAGTAGGCATACTTTTTTTCTTAGAAATCTTTACAAAATGAAGCAAAGCCCAAGATACAAAAAATCTGAGTGGCAGTTCTCACAATGATTGGCAAATTGCTGTGTCAACCACAAAAGTATTTGCAAAATGGCGAATGTGATGACACTTCTCAGTAGCTCGCTGATGGATATCTGGAAAAAAACCCAGAAAAGAAAGTCAAATTAAGTTTCTTGGAGATTTAGAGACAAAAAAGAAATACAACCATTTAATTTCTAAATTAAGTGTGTAGAAATAAGAGCACAAAAACAATACAAATCACAGAAAGGGACACAGACATTACTGGCATTGTCATGTATTAATACACCCAACTCTCAAAAGCTGTTTTCTCACAGTGATTTACATAGAATAAAGTGTTCTGATTACAGAAATGTTTGTTTTTTAAACACTGAATTTTAAACTGTCAGTGAAGAACATAAATTTCTCCTTCCTTAATCTGAACATTTGCAATTATAGCTGGCTATTTAAACAATGTAGACAGCTGCCCATCTCATTGAGGTAACGATACAAGATACTAGATTTTGTGCAAAATACAAACACTAATTTACCAAGTGCCAGGAGTTGTGGGGGGGGGGGAGATCTATTATCCCTAATTAACCAGCCAGCAGTTAGAAGCTCGTTCGTTTGGATGACATGGTCTTATAGTGGGACTACTGGAGCTCATCAGGTCACTGACCTCTTAGAATACCTGAATAGGAGATTTTCTTCTAATTTCCAAAAGGAAACATTGCTTTCAAGAAACATTGCTTTCAAGATGGTGTATCTTGGATAGGCTTCAACCTTGTTCAACCCTGGGATGCTATTAGATGAAGGTTCAACTATGAGGGTAGATACTCAGCAAGTTTGAATTAATGGTATCTTCAATCCAGGGCAAGGAAGTTGTGTGGATGAGCCAATTATCATACATACAATAATTCATTAATGAGATAATATATATGCAAGAACATTCGTTTAGAGTTAGGTACTATTTTAAAAATAGCTTCACTCTACCAGTATATTTCTCCGTTTGCAAATATCACATATTGAATTTAAAAATAACTGCTGTAAATTTACAGTCCATTTTAGAAGCACAATATAAATAAACCAGAAAAAGAAATAAAATGATGTTCCCCTTACGTCCTCTTGCTATTCTATGGCCCAACATGAAGGTTTCTTTCCCTTGGCAGAGTTTATGAATATAGGAGCCAAACAGATCTGGGTCAGTGGCATGTTGTGACACCATCCGCTCTTCCTGGATCATATTGCTTTGTGACAAATATACCCCCTTCTGCAATCAAAAAAGTTACGATTCACTGAGAAATTGCTTGTTTTAACATCTGGAAAGAAACATCTCTTCAACAAGTCCACAACTTATTTTCACTGTTCAGGAATTTTTGATCCATTGGCATCCTTCAGTCTCAAAAGGCTATGGTATCGTGCTCTGGAAAGAGGTCCTTAAAGTAGCATCTGGTGTGGCTAAAAAGGCCAATTTGGGAGTGGCAATCCTTCCACAGAGGGCAGATACATTCTGTCCCCTGCCCAGACCCCAGATTTCGCTGGTTCCAGGACTGCCTCTTTGCTTCAGCCTGGCGAACAAGTGTCTCTTCGAATTGGAGAAGGCCATGGATTTTTGATCCAGAATACCAATGTCGTTGTATTTAAGTACAATGACAATAAAAGTTTATACCTGTATTACTTCAAGCAACAATATTTTATTCATCTCAACCTATACACTGAAGTAACAATGGGATTAGTGCTACAAAATGATCACTTTTGTATTTTTCTCGTGATAATTCATTGATGCTGTATAATAATTTCTCAATTCATAACATTCAGTCAAAAGTCTAAAGTCCATCAACCTACTACAGCTTTTCAAAGCTGGCTACTATTATTGGAACCACAAGTGAAAGTGTTATCAGTTCCAAGGATGGGTGCAATGGTTATAGAATATAGCTGTAATCAAATATAGAATAAAAAAAGATTATTTACTGACCTTTATATTAAGCGTCAGCTCCCAGAAATGCTTAAGTGGCATGACAATAGTAGTATTTAGCTCTCCAATGTAGCATTTATTTACTACCCAATCATAATAAGCTGTGAATCCCTGAAATCACACCAAATAAAATCAGGTTAAAAAGGGGTGGAATGTGCTCAAAACAGATTAAAGAACTCTCACAGAAGAATCTGGGATGCTTAAAACTAGTATATGGTAAAGGTAACAGTGCTTGAATTGGACTGGAAATAATACGATTCACGTCCCCACTCAATCTTGGTGCTCACTGGGTGATGTATTGTCTCAGGACAAATTAAGGCATCAGGAGTAGAAATCCAGAGACCACAAGTTTTAGGTCCGCTTTAGGCACAAAGCTAGCAGGGTGACCTTGGCCAGTTACTCCCTCTCAGCCCTAGCAAGCAATGAATGGCAAACCACTTCCAAAGAATTCTGCTAAGAAAAATGTAGGGACTAATACCAAGAATCAATGCTGACATGAAGATACGCACAGCCCAACTTCACAAAGTTTATTGTTGCAAAGATTGTATTAGGAGACAAACCAATGTCAATCACTTTGACACTCAGAGAAAAGGGTACTAGAATCATATGACTTAACCTTTTATACTCTTTTCATAGGAAGCTGCTTTCCAATTCAAGAAACTGTCAAGGAGCCAGAATAGGATAGGAACACAAACCCCACACTCAAGCACACATGCTAAAAGGCTATAATTGAGAGATTGATCAAAATTGATCAAAATTTCTAGTAACACATATCCAATTGAGGCCAAAAATTAAATAAAATCAAAAAAAGGTTATTAAAGTACATTGTTCTCTTTACAGTACCATCCCATTATATACTTGTGATGGGAGATATCAAACAGGGATATATAAAAACTTAAGACTATAAAAACAGGTTGTTCACAATAATTTATTTCTTTTCACCAGTGAGAGACCAGGTACCCTACTCTAGTCCCTACAAAAGTGCAAATGTCAAGCTAATGTGCTAGACCAAGAATAATGAATATGACTCTATCAGTTTTTTATTATTAGTGCAATTCTTAATAAAACTATTGAAGTGGCTGATGTGCTGGGCTAAACTACCTTATCAGGAGGGAATGGAACATGTTGCATTTTCTAAGTAAGGACAAAGGAGATCTTAAAATTTGATGCTAGCAAGATATTGGACATACCGTTAAGTGTTATGGAAAAAGCTATAACAGTAGTTATACATTTAAATCCACACACCTTGCATGATGAACACAAATTCAACTGTACCAATTATGGCTGAGGACAATGAATAAGACAGTTCAGACCCAAGTTTAGGGAATCAATAAAACCACAGATATAATTTTTGGATTAATGATCTGGCCAGATTATCACCCTCCTAAATATTTCCATATATTTGATATGGTTCTCAGAAATATGGGAATATTAAGTATTTAAGTCTTAGAGTTACAGATGAATTATAGGATTACAAAATTACATTTTCACATTCTTGTTAATGGGGAAGATTTGAAGCAGCAGTCTGTAGACATTGTTGATGGAAAGATACCTGGACATCTTTAATTTGGAGAACTTTGCATTTTATAAGGTAAGTAAAGACTTTTGTAACAGAGAAACCATTAGGTTTGAGATGCCTTATTCATTGAGCATTCCTGTTCTGACCAGCCAGTTTGAAAGATTCCACTGATGAGTGATGCCAGGGTTATTATCAGTAAATATATGCCAATTAAAACCACATTATCTCCCAATAAAAGAAGCAGGATCTTGTTTGTTTCTTCATGTCTTATAAAACTGTAAGATTATCAAAGGAAAATAAGTTTGATATCATGGCATTCCAACCCATTATATGCCTATCCCATCAAGTTGTTTAAAATGCTTAGAATTGAATTGAGTCTCTCCAACATGAATATTTCGTATTACTGAAGTGCTGAGACAGAGTTTCGTTAAGGTGGCAGAGTTGGGCCACCATTTGATAATTACATTTTAGATATTAAAGGGGACCTGTGACAGTATTTTCTATCTTAGAAAGGCAATGTGACCCACTGATGGCCAATGTGAATCACCAGACTATCAAATCTCAAAAGGGCCATGTACTATGTGGTTTAGAGTATGGATGTCCAACCTTTTGCCTTGCCTAAACTGCATTGAGCAAAGAGAAATTGTCTTGGGCCACATATATAATATATAATTTAGTTAATATGTATAAATCACATAATAATGTTAAAAGTTTATTATGAACTTGCAAGGTTACATTACTAACTATCCAGGGCTGCCTTTGAGCCATGGGTTGGAAACATCTGGCTTAGAATGTTAAATGTCAAATGGTGAGAAACATTCAGTTCCCACTCAACAATAAAATCTCTGGTTGGTTTTGCCCAGTTCCCTACCTTTCAATCCAAACTATATCTGAAATGTGTTATGAAAGTATACTGAATGAAGAGTATTATATATGATAGGAGTTCCTGGAATATGTGCTGAAGGAAATAACTTCAAAAAAAGTATTTTCTATACCTTTCTTTATTTCTGTTTTAGACATTCTTTCAAAGCCTGTGCAGCCTAATTTCTTACCTGCTGAAAATCATGGATAATGTCTGCAGGATGCCCAACATTGGGCCTTGGGATACTGATTTCCTCATATTCCTCTCCAAGGAAAATCTTCACATCCTCATACACTGTCCTGGTTTCAGACGAATCATCGAATTCAAAGTAGTCACACTCCAAACCTCCTTCCTCATAATTGTAATACTCCGTCCTTTGCTACAATAGTTTAATAAAAAAAATTCTCAAGCTAAATTGGCTGTGTTACTACCTCATTTTTAAACTTTTTAAATATACAAATGGAGTTTGGATTACAGAATGACAGACTTAAAACTAAGTAATATTTTTTCCTATTGACCACAATACAGTGTAAGAAATTTGTAACCAAGTGTTGATCTTATTCATACTCTCTGTCCTGTTTTGGCCTATCGCTCTGTCTTCTCTGTATCTATGAAATTGCTAATCTGAGATCACTTATTTCTGTCTACCCAGGTTCATACTTCTGAATATATCACCTGGTAGGATGCAGTTGGCTAGGTACTAAGCTTTGCCTAGCTCTATAATGTTATTTCCTCCAAATAAATGTCCCTTTACTGGAGCAGGTTATAAAACCTGGCCCAGTAAACTTCCACTGGAGAATCCATAATCTCTAAGCTAAAAAAGACCCCATAATATGGTATAATGAAATAACGTTTAACTCATTGCTAAATGTACATATATTTTCAGTCCAAGTCTGGTAACACACATGAATAGAGTTTTCGTCACAAAAAAGAAGTCTAATTCTTTTTCTACCAAGGGGTGGTGGTGGTGGTTTTTTTGCTGCTTGCTAAAATCAGTTTTTTCTCTATTTTATTCAGTAGAAATCAGGAGACTGTGAGTTTTAATCATGCCCTTAGGCATCGAAACCAACTGGCAACCTTAGATCAGTCACTCTCTGTCTGACCTACCTCACAGGATTGTTGTTGTGGGGAAAACAGGAGGAAGAAGTGTGTTCTACCTTCAGTTATTTATAAAAATAATAAAAGCAGAATAAAAACAAATATGCCCACATATAATTCTTGTAAGGTAAAGGTCCCCCTTGCACATATGTGCTAGTCGTTTTCAACTCTAGGGGGTGCTGCTCATTTCTGTTTCAAAGCTGAAGAGCCAGCGCTGTCATGTACTATGTGGACTTTGTGGTCACGTGGCTGGCATGATTAAATACCAAAGGCGCACAGAACGCTGTTACCTTCCCACCAAAGGTGGTTCATTTTACATGCTTTGGAACCGATAGGTTGGCAGAAGCTGGGACAAATAACGGAGCTCACTCCCTTATGCGGCTCTAGGTATTCAAACTGCTGACCTTTCTAATCAACAAGCTCAGCTTTTTAGCCACTGCATCCTTATATAATTCTTGTAAACATGATTGTAAATAACTTGCAATTGACTGTAATAGATCCATATCCCTTCTCAATGGAGCAGCTTCCTAAAGCAGCTTTTCTGCAATTTTTCATAAATGCTGATGGGATTTGTTACATTTGTATATATCAGATTACAAAAGCCTCATCTGATATTCTGTATACCATATTTACACAAATTGTCAATTATACTTTTTAAGTGAAGGGATCATCTTGGATCCAAATATAGTAAAATTGAATGCTTGTTTTTACTGCTTGATTTAAGCATATTTTTCCATTGAGGAACGTGAGCAGGATATAGACAAGATAGGGAAGGGACATTTTGCTGCTCTCTTATTAAATGAAATTAAGTGGCTAAGTGGGGTGAAGTAGTGAAGCAGTATTACTCCCTCATGTATGTCAAAAAAGAGGCTAAATGGAATGTGAAAAGCAAGTTGGCATGGGTAGGAGTGGCATGTTCTACAGATACAAGGAGAAGTTACCATGCAAAGTTTGTTCATAATAGTACTATAGAAAGGGAACATCCTCAAGCAAGGATAAGTCTCCAGGAAAGGTAATGGGGAAAGGCTGAAACTATCAAAACAAGTGTCTGTTTACTAAAACCCTATGGAAATTATTCAGTGGACATAGGGCAAAAGGCTTTCTCGATGTGAAATCAAACATCCATTCACAGAAAGAGAAAACTAATTTTGCAAGTATTAATGGGCATAAATTCATGATCAGTTATGGCTGATGAATATGAATTATAGTTTAATAGTAGAACATTATCTACTATCACTAAAGAGAACTATGTCATTTTAGCAATGTTTCTCTTCTGGCTATACTGGAAATTATATGCTTGTCAGGGTCTGTCATATATGAGACATGATCTATCAAATACTGGGTTAGAAACTATACAAAGGGAAAGCGTATGCTGAAACTACTTTGGCTATCTGAAATGGGAAGCTCAGTTGTCTCAGATTATTGTGTAGCTGAAGCAGACCAGTGGAGCAACTACTTTATAAGCTTTAAGGTGGAAATGTTAATCCTCCGATCGTGTGGATGGTTTGAACTAAATCATACATACCATATCCATGCCCATGTGAGCAACTGAGTGAGTGAGAGATAAATATTTGTAGATATACGTCGATGTTAAGATCAAGCCGAGAAGTAACAACAAAAATCCCAAGGCCAAAAAGAAGAGGCAAGTTAGAGATCTCCAACTCTGCTGTGGCAAAGATAAGGGCTGCTTCTCCTGTTTAAAGAAAAGGAACAGGGTCACTCATTAATGGACAGCACAGTAAATGCAGAATATCCTGAGCAGGATGGTTCTATGCCAAGCTTCCTTCTTCCGTGTTGTGTACATCTATTTTCTTTTACAACAGGCTTCCCAAGAAGGAAAAATAATGTCTTCAAAGGTAATAAAAGATAGAAATACTGCATGCTCGACATGACTTGCTGATCACTTTCTCCTTGGAAAGTGAAAGAAACACAATAGGATAAGCTAACTTATTTTGATACTAAGAAATAGTTAAGTCAAGGAACCAAAAGTAACAAACATTGGAAAAAGTCACAATTTAATACTTGAATTCTTTATTGGAAGGGAAACTAAGTCAGACATGAATCTTGAATTAAAATATCAATTTTTAATAAACTCATAGCAGAAGTAGGTTGCCAATTTTTTTACTACTGGTCTGGGCGGGTGGGTGGAGCCTCCTGCCGCCACTACTACCTGTTCGGCAGCAACCCACCTCTGATTCATAGCATTGATAAGTAGGAAGAAGAAGCTACTGTAATAAGAAAAAGAAGCTCTATTTCTAGATGACTTAAGTTGCAGGGAAATATTGACTAAATGTTAAGGAAAACTTTCTAAGCGTAAGACTAGATTAACAGCAGAACTAATTACCAGAGGAATCTTTACTAGATGCATAAAAGCAAAGGCTAACAACCTTATGATGGTGATATTTTATTTGGATTTCTGGAAGAGGTTGCAAGGAATTGCTTAACTAGCATAATCTAACCAATTCTTTTATTCTATTGATGTAGCATATTTACAAATGTACATGTAACCTTCCTAAGCAGCTTAAACAAACAACAATCAATTGCCATTTCACTTTCTGGTTCTTTAACCCATGTCTTTTAATTTAACTTTGCATATTGCCTCAGAGACGTTTGTGTAAGGGTGTGAAGAACATAAATTTAAAACAAACAAATGATATCACTGTGTGTTCCAATGTGCATGAGATCAGCCTACCCAATGATAATACCATTTCAACATTATAACAACAAGCTACAGTCGAATAATACAAAGAGGGATAGATGTCTGTAGATCTCCCATCAACAAAAATTAAAGTAGCACAGCTTATGCATCATATATTTATATGTATGTGTGTGTGTGTGATTAGAAATAAGCATATTGCAATATAAAAAAAGGATAAAAATCATAAATCTGAACAGATAAAATTACTTCTCACTTCTGACTCCACCTTTTTTAGAATTTTTTTATCGGTACTATATATCACTTTTTTTCTCTAGGCACACAGGCACGTTTCAAACAAAGCTACTTATAGACTGTATGCTTCAAGAGCAGGAGTGTGAAACTGGTGACCGGGGAGCCAGGTACATCAGATGCAGGCCATGCCCATCCCAGCTTCACGAATGGGAAAAACATCGTGAAACCTCACGTGATGGCAACATAACACCGCGAGTTTGACACCCATGTTCTAGAGCATTTTTGGACACAACAATTGCTTAAAGAAATACTTGCTTGAAGATGTCACTTGCTTCGAAGGATGCTACTTTTAAATAAATATATAAAATAAATTAAAAACAGAACTTGTCGAGCACCAGAGAATTGTCTTTGGGTATGCAGATACCCTTGAGTGTCATAACTCCAGCACCCAGTCTTTCAAGGAAGTGGAAAAAGAAATTAAGAAAGTGGTAAAATTAATACATATCATGATATCAAGTAACCAAAATTTCCTCAGCGTATCATACACTAGTTTTTTCCAATTATAAAAAACATCTAGGCCAGTGGTTCTCACCTGTGGGTCGGGACCCCTTTGGGGGTCGAACGACCCTTTCACAGGGGTCACCTAAGACCATTTGAAAACACATATTTTTGAAAAAATACAAAAAACATAAAATAATTTTATGGTTGGGGGTCACCACAACATGAGGAACTGTATTAAAGGGTCGTGGCATTAGGAAGGTTGAGATCCACTGATCTAGGCCATATTAAAATAAATTAAATTTAAAAAGTCTTAGGGAACAGAAAAAAGCTTAATATTATAAAAATAAACCTTTTAAAATGAATCTCATACTTCTTTTTTAGAGTGACAATCTCCTTTAAGTCTTTTTAACTCTATAGATCTCGTATAAGCAGCGTATGCCTGCAATCTATAAGCTATAAACTCTTCTCCCAAATACAGGAGAACAAATACCAGAAATGTACCTCACTGTGAAATTACTCAAAACACCACATATGGTCTAGCCAGAATGTGCCTCCTAAAAATAAGATTAGTAGAGCTGGTTATATCTTTAAATCTCACTTACTAATGCAACTACAATTCATAGCAGAAGGCAACCACAAAGCTTGAAAAAAAGCGATCAACATGATCACATGCAAACTACAGAAGATGGAAATCAGATCAGATCTGCTGATGTAGATTAGAAATTAGAAGGAATAGAAATATTCTTAACTTGATTTCAGCTTAAATAGAGAAATGTTCTGCAATTATTGGAATAGGTCCCCAACATGATAACAGTAGAGATATTATATAACAACACAAACAAAGAATGAAGTCAGGTTCTAATTATTTTTTAAAAAGAACACAGGATCAGTAGAACAATCCCTCAGAAGGCCTGATAGAGAACGTCCCCATGGTAACAAACACACTGCTTGCCCAGAAAATTTTGGCCTTTTTCCATTGGTTTTATAACTGGAGATATTCAAGAGTCTAAGAAGAACACTAGTCATTCATCCATGTCAAAGAAAAGGGAATAATCTGAAACCTATATCATTCAAATTTGCAGAGCCAATCCTAGAGCAGGAACAGAGAATCTAGTCAGAAGTTCATAGCTTGGCTTTCACCAAAAGGATCCACTCTATCAGGTGAAATAAGTAAAAACCACCGTCTCTAACTTGGTGCCTTCCGAAATGTTATGGATTGCAACTCACATGAATTCAAACATGAAACTGTACAGGAATTGGAGTCACAAACATATAGAATAAAAGAATGTTTGGGGAAGACTGGACAAGGACAGAGGGGAGGAGAAGCTCCAGACTTCTGCCAGAGCTTCATCTGACATTATTTAAACGAAACGTCTTAAGTATAAAACAATCCATATCCTACAATCCTGGCACTGAGGCACCAGGCTCTGATCCTGATCCCTTAGAATAATTTCACATTTATACGTTCAGGGGATAAATATTTGGAAGATGGGGATTTAATAAACCTTTTCCAAGCAAAGGTTGCTTGTGCTATCAATATTAAAAGATCCTTTAGGGCTGGGAAACAGTTGTCTAAATCCAGAGAGTTGCAACTGACTGCATATGGGCCTGATTGCAAATTGTTACACCGCAGACATAACTAGTAGACTAGACTGCAGTGGTCTCCAACCTTGGCAACTTTAAGACCTGTGGACTTCAACTCCCAGAGTTCCTCAGCCAGCAAAGCTGGCTGAGGAACTCTGGGAGTTGAAGTCCACAAGTCTTAAAGTTGCCAAGGTTGGAGACCACTGGACTAGAGGATGTGGTGTGGAACCTTGTACAACCTGATGTACACTGACTTCATCAATTCTCCTTATACCCAGCCAGCAGCACATTTTCCACTCTGCAGGCAGAAAGGGATGGAAAGAGATCATCAGCGCATATGAGGTGCCAGAGTTGAAAGAAGATTTTTTATTTGGTTTGCTTCATTATTAGCTGAAACCACTTCTGGTTTTCTGGCATCCCTGCGGAAATGCTCACTAGCCAGAGATAAGCCCAATAGCACTTTTAAAGAGACACTACGCCTTCCCTCTATGAAGGGAACTTCTGTTTTGAACCCGGGCTCGAATGATTTGTGGTGAAAGCGCTTTTCTTCACTTCTAGCCTCCGCGGGACCTTCGAGCTTACCTGTTTTATTCAAATACCGTAAAGCCATATTGCGCGATGCAACAGCTTCATCCTCGGAAAGATTACCAAATCGCTCAGAAACGCGTCTATGCTTAGTGCGGGTGTTGAACACAAGTATTTTTAAGGTGTGTGGTTTTTTTTTAAAACCAACACAATATCGTCGTCTCCTGGGAGCGTTCATTTATTCATCATTAACTGAAATGCAAACCCGACCTGAAAACGCCAAAAAAAGCCCCTGTGGTCTCCTACGTACTTACCGCATCCTGAGAAAGGACGAGGCCTTTTGCTGGGGGCCCGTGGCGCGTTGCAACTGCCGCCTCTTTCTCCGGCTTGAGCTCAGCTGTAACCGGCTGGAAGCCGATTTTCACCATGGCTGGACTTCAACTGGCCAGGCGAGCTTGCCAGCCGTTTTTCGTGCAACCCGCGCAAGCGTCTCCCGCGAAGATCAGGGCTTTTGAGATCCCGCCTCCGCGAAGAGAAACGACAGCTCCACCCAGGCAGCTCCGTTTCTCCTCGGGTTTTCATTGGCGGAAGGCTCACGCTCTCTTTTGCAGAAGCCTAGCCTTTTGGTTGCAAGGGCTTGGTGGAAGGCTCGCCTCGCACATGCTGAAAAACTCAGGACTTCCTAGGCAAAAGCCTTCCTTAATTCTACCCAGAATGAGTCTGTAGAGCACAGGTCTTCAAACTTGGCAACTTTAAGACTTGTGGACTTCAACTCCCAGAATTCTCCAGTCGCTATGCTGGCTGGAGAATTCTGGGAGTTGAAGTCCACAAGTCTTAAAGTTGCCCAGTTTGAAGACCTGTGCTGTAGACATTCTCAATCATCCAGGTCATGCTGATCCCAAAGGTGCTTTTTTTTCAGGAGGCAACTGGACTTTGTTTTTCCTTTTGAAGACATTTCCCTTCTCATCCAAGAAGCTTCTTCAGCTCTGACAGGATAGTGGGAATGGAAGGATTTATATTCCTTGCAAACAGCTGGTCATTTGCATCTTTTTAGAGGGTCATTAAAGCACTTGGAGGCATCTTCAGGGTCACCTGAGTACTTTCATTCCCCACTATCCTGAAGAAGCTTCTTGGATGAGAAGCAAAACGTTTTCAAAAGGAAAAAAAAAACAAGAAAGTCCAGTTGCCTCCTGAAAAAAAAAACACCTTTGAGACTACCATGGCCTGGATGACTGAGAATCTCTACAGACTTTTAGGTATACAATTTGGGATGAACACCTTTGGAATGGTGTGGGAATAGGAATGAATTTCCAGAGAAAAATATTGCAGATTACAAAAACCAGGAGCACTACTCAGGTGACCCTGAGGACCCAGATAAACCTCCAAGCGGTTTTAGAGTGTCCAACACCTCTAAAAGGATGCAAATTACCAGCTCTCAGGAGGAATATAAATTCTTCCATTCCCCATTATCCTTCATAGCTGAAGAAGCTTCACCTCTACCCAGAATGTTTGAACACAGGGTGGAATCTGAGAGTGAAAGCAGCTTGAAATCTGGTGAACCACCTATAAGAGGGTTAATAAAATCCAGTAAAATCTGTTTCGGGATAAAAACCAGCTATCTAGAATGTCAGTCTAATTGACATGCAGTAGGAATTCCAGAGCATAAAAAGGCCATCCTGTTCTTTTTATTAAAACACTAGGAATTTTTGCTGCTTGTATACTCACCAGTCATTGCTAAACTGCTATTATTACTTACTAGCTTAATGAATTGGGGGGGGGGGGATTGGAATTGACAGCTAGCTATTTATTTATTTTCTTACCAATTTCATATGCTGCTCATCTTGCAGTTCAAGGAGACTGAGAAGCTTACAACATAATAAAACATATCGATGTAAAAAGCAATTATAAATGAAAACAGGTTAAAATTACAAAATATTAAAACAAAGGGGAAAAAATCAAGAGTGGAGAAGTGGTAGTGACTTCTCTGTTATTATATTACCCACTTCCAACCAAGAACTTCTTCAGGGCTCATGTCAACCAACCACTATAGCCAAGTTTTAAGGTATTTACTGAAGGCCAGAAAATTGGGGCGGTGGGGCCTCACCTCCTGTGGCGAGACGTTCCAAGGTGGGGGGGGGGAGACATGACAGAAAAGTTTCTTCACCAGGACCCCCACCAGCTGCAATTTCTTGGCTGACGGGGTCCGCAGTAAACCTCTTGCAACACTAGGGCAAGTGGGTGAGACAGTCCCATTTAGGCAAAACAGTTCTTCGGATATCCTGGATCTACGTCATAAAGGGCTTTAAAGATAATGACCAAATATCTTGAATTGGACCCTGAAGCAAAGCTGCAGCCAGTGCAGTCTGTGTAAGAGTGGGTGTTACATGTGCCAACCTAGGGTCTTACAAGTGTCCATGTTGCTGCCTTCTGGATCAATTGTAGCTTCTGAATACTCTTCAAGGGTAGCCTCATGTAGCATAGGTTGCAATGATTCACATGGGAGATGCATAATAGGATATGAGTAATTGAATGCAGAGCCTCACAATCCAGAAAAGGTTGCCCTTGGTGCAGAACCCGAAATTGTGTAAAGGCTCTCCTAGCCACAACTGCCAGCTGCATTTCAAGTAGGAGTTGCAAGTCTAGGCAAAGCCTACAAGTTGGAAACTGGGACTGTCTGGGGTACTGCCACCACATCCAGAATTAAAGATAATAAAGCTGTGGATTCCAATTCATTTCCATCTTACCAGGGTTCAGCTGAAACCTGCTGTCCTCCATCCCAAATTTGGCAGATTTGGGAAGATAAAAGTTTATTTGTTTTGCTTACTTATTTGGTTTGGGATACTTTTGTTGAAGGCTTTGTATACTCAAGGTGCTATGATTATGTTATTCTGTTTATAATATTTATAGAAATTTACATTCTAGTTTGGAATTAAAGAATTGGGGTCTCCTTGTAAACAGAGAGAAGTGCTATTTCAGTGTTTAAAACAGGAACTGATATTGTTTTCTTATAGAACGTTCTATATTCCTTCAAAGGATAAGCAGTTTTTACAGAAAGCATGGGTGAGAGAGTATAAGTGATCAGTAATTCTTAAAGCACAAGAGATATTTTTTATTCAATTTCTATAAGTGCTTATCTCAATCAATGACTCTGGGTGGCTTACAATTAAAAAACAATGAAAACTTTTTAAAACAATATGTTCTATGTTATTTATGTTATAACAATGTTACTATATATATATATATATATATATATATATATA